GTTAGTAGTATATTTGACAGGCTTAGTCGAAAAATTTCGAGAGAAACTTTGCCCATATATTAACCCTAACGAAAATTCCAAATCCTCCCATATATTATTAACCAGGCCGACGCAGCGATTCCTTTGTTTCACGAGTTTTCTTTCGCGCTCGAACTGCGCCATTTACAAGTCGATAGCCATTCCGTTTAATTAGCATTGCAACGGGATAAAGTTTCGAGAACCGTTTGGCACAGGGAACTGATCCCGCGGGAAAAGTTGAGGGGAAAAAACCTCCCCGATTTTCCCTCCCGATATATCTAATGCATAATGCATTCCTCGCACAATTTCTAAACTCGAAAAGAAATCTCGAAAAATTTTTTTTTTCGTTTCGACAAAATTTCTCGTACGATTCGACAAAATCGAACACTTTCCATGGTTCGAGAAAAACGCGTTAAAACGTTTACCTTGGTTAAATCTAAGAAATTACGAAAATGGGCGTACAACGATTCGAAACGATTCGTCCAGCATCCGAGCGTATATGAAACATGGAGGAAACTGGTGGCTGGCGATCCACCGATTCAATCGCGGTTCGTGCGACTCGGCAAGCTTCGTTCCAATCGCCGCGCTTCCATCGATTCTCTCCCTTCTTGGCCGGAGAGAACCACGAGGGACGAGCTTTCGATTTCCGGATCGGACGTCTCGGCCAGGATAAGGAGGAGGACAAATGGATACCGTTTAACCCAGATAGATAAAAGGCCGGGGGTATGCGTTCGGCTACGTCGTGGTTGGTACGAGGAAAAAGATTCGTGTAACGGAGGTGGATGAATTTACGGAGTTGGAAAGGGGGTTGCGATTCGATTTAATGATCGAGCTCTGCTCGATTCACCGAGGATCGTTTAGAAGTTACTTGGATCTCGGATATATATATATATATATGTACCACGAAATCTTTTTCGAAAAATTTCACCGGATCTCCTTGTTCCCTCCCCCTCTTCCGGTGAATCGAAAGAATCTAGAGCAGGTCGGAAGTTTCGTGTTCGAATTTTATTGCGCGGACTGCCGCAGTGATTTAAGCGCAGCCCCAAAAGTTTCTTCATCGTTGAAAATGTACTCGCGAGGTACGTTTAACGCGTGTTAAAATCTCGAAAGAATTTAAGCATCCTCCGATTTTCTTGCGAAGAAGAAATCGATCAAATTGGATCGCGGTTTCGAAATAAGTTTAGCGATCCAAAATATCGATTGAATTTATCGACAAGCTCCGCTCCCTTTTGCTTCCGCTTTCCTTTTCCGATCCTTCTCTCGAATCTCGGGGAAGCGAAGATATGGCGAAACGAAACAAAGATTCGTCGACGAGAAGAGCATCCGAATCGCTCGTTAACCAAGAGTCCCGTTACCAAAGTGTTCTCGTCGGATTAACAGTCCAGCTCGGTGCGACTCGGCACCTCCACCTCTCGATCAATATTTACACTCGTTGTTGGTTGTACTCGAGATACTAAAACGGTACTGTCCTATCTACATTCGGGTTTTCGCGAGTGGGCGAACGAATGTTGGCTTCACCTCGCGGGAGATCGGTCCAACCAGTTGGTCTCTTCGAGTTCGTATGCTCGTCGACGGAACGGCGGGACGAATCGCTCGGGGCCTGGAAAACCCGCACCGATGACTGGGAGGACGTTGAGGGTGTTCCTGGTGTTCTTCCTCGCTCTCGTGTCCCTGTCGTTTCCGTGTCTGGCGCGGAGGCTCGAGGACGACGAGGACGATTTCACGGTGAACGAGGCGACCGGCCTGTTGGAAAGTCCCTCGCGGCGACCGAGGGCTCTCGTTTTCCCCAAAGACTCCCAGCTTCTGGTACGTAGAAAACCCCGGTTAAGATTGACGAGGCTAATCAACCGATCGAGGAGGAGTCGCTCAAGTGTTCGCGATCTTTTTCCTTTTCTCTTCTTTCCCCTCCTTCCCTTTTTCTTCTCCCTTTCCATCGCGCTCCAGGGAACGATTCCACCTTTTCCTCTCGTTCCACGCGCCGTGGCTTCTCGATGCGGTCTCGGAGATATGGATTGGATCGGTCAGATTTATTTTCCGATACTCGTGCAAAGTATCATATCCTCGAGTACGCTCGATTATTATCCCGAAAGAGAGAGATATAGGCGGGATATAGCACGAGACCGACCACGTTTAACCGGCCGCTTCTTCAATAATTCCCTTCTGCAACGCCACATGTCCGAGGCTCGTCCAATTTTCCATCCACCGTGTTTGGAAATGGTCGTCCTTCGGATTACAACCTGCTCGGCTTGATAGGATGAACGGGGGGGGAGGAGGGGGCCGAGAGTAGTCGGTTCCATCCGATTTTCCATCCGATCCGGCTCACCACCTCCGCGGTACACCGAATCCCGATGATAGGGATTAAAACAGGGGCAAATTCGGTAAAGAAATTCCCCCGAATTTTGAAACAACCTCCTTCCCCCCACTCCTCGCGTCCCACAAATCGCGACAAACAGATCGGTTGTATATTCAAAGATCCATCCCCACCCTCGTCAAGATCGCAATTACCCCGAGAAGAGGGAAAGGGGTGGAGAGGGGAAGCCGGTAAAGCGTGTAACGTGTTTCGATTTCCATCTCCCCCGATCGGATCCACCTTTCAGAGCTCATCCAATTTCTGCACCAGGAATGGATATCGAAGCGCATAGTATCGCCACACTCGCCCTGCCGTTCTCCCCGTGCGGCGGCATATGGGTGCGTGTGCATGCATATTCATACGCGCACACGTGGCGAGGACGACGACTACGGCATCGTGCGCGGGCCGGCGTATGAATTTTCGATAAAACCGCGGAGAATTTCCACACGGAGAATTCGTTTTCGGACCGCGCGTCTGGGGAAGACAGTTTAACGAGATCAGGGGGAGAAGGAGGAGGAGGGGGAGGAAGGGTTAGGGTTACCTTTTTCCTTTCTCTCTCTTTCTCTTCATCCGAGGTCGGCCGGCAATCGAGATCGATGCCGCCTGTTGTTAACCCGGCTACTCGCGCTAATCGCGTCGATCGAGGAGCAGCTATCTTAGCTTACTTTGGCCGATTCCGTCGTTCGTGTCGAGATAAGTGGTCGAACCAGGAAATTCTGAATCTCGTCATCGCTGCCCTCGAGGGATCGATATCGACACCTTGCTACTTGCAGCCCTTGGAAAGTTTGTTGCGGAGGGAACTCTCCGATTCGAGCGACTACCGCTTTAAGAGTAGACTACCGATCTACTCTCTCTCTTCTCTCTCTCTCTCTCTCTCTCTCTGTTTCTTCGTCGGGGAAAGGATTTAAAAAATTCAATATTCTCGTATTCAAGCCGTTATATGAAGGAAGGGTCTCTAAGCGTGCAAACGAGGCAACGATAATTACGCGAAACGCGTCTACGTTTTACGTGGGATATGATAAATCGTACGAACAAGGCGAGTCTCCTTGTGTTTTCGCATGTTTTCAATCACACGTATTGTGAGAATGAAGTAAAAAAATGAAGAAAGTTACTCGAAGGCCCCGACGATTGATCAAACGTTTTTCGTTTCTACCAGTGTTGGTATTATCTACAATTTGGAAACAGATACGCGGTGAGAAGGGATATGTACGGGGGAATCGAGGATTCCCACGATCCGTTTCCTAGAACCGGAAACTAGGATTTTAACCCGATCTCGTCTGAGTTTATCCAATTTCCTCTTTGGGGATCTCGTTCTCATGAATAACCGGTGTAACAACGAGTTCTCGGATCGAATCTACGCGATGGATTTCGTTCGAAAATGTTCCTCGAAACGCGCGAAATATGACGAGAAACGTGTAAATATCCCACAGATTTCTCGAAAAATGTATTTTGTAACGCTACCTTCGACCCCGTCCTCGATCGATTCATTCTCTTCCGCAAAATTTTGGAAAATTATACGGGATAACGATGTGAAATTATGTTGTAAACTTACAAAGCAAAGCGTGTCTTTCATAATTTTGGGACGATACAGCTGATCCTGGGACTGGGAACGCCGTTGCAACTGGACCGCGAGAGCATAATCATCGGTATCTTCACCAAGATCGTGTACAACCTGCCATCGAACGCGACAGATTTCACCGTTCCGGGAGTGTATTACTCTCGAGCCCAGAAGAGCAGGTGGAGCGTTTACAAGGCGCTGGAAAGGGCGGCTGGCCTGTACGGATTCGGTGGGAAGGCTTGCCTATTGAAAGCCATTTGCGAAGCTGCCTCCGCTCCTTTCGATGGTACTCATGGTTTGTTGGGACAGCTGTTGCACGTCTTTTTCAGGTAATCGTGAAAAGTAGAAAAAAAAATATTGTCAGTAACAAAATGATCCAAGACCATTTATCCCGACTTTCGTTAATAATCTCAATCCAGTCCAGTCAACGAGAAGAGAAGAAAGAGAACGAGCAAATTCACGATCCTTATGAAATCAATTTAATCTAATCTAAGCATGCAAACACATTGTGCATCATACGCTTCGTCCACGCTTGTTGCGGTTTGATGTTTCATACAAAAAAAAAAAAAAATACAACTTTTGTTCGGGACACATTCGGCGGAAACTTGAAAGTAAAATTAAAATCGCGAAAAGAATTCTAAATTAAAATGGGAAAGATTAAAAATTTCAATTCTCAACCATTTTTGAAGGAAGAAAATAAATCGACTGACTTACCAGAGTACGAAGTTATGCCCCTACTGGTGAATTAATGATGTAATAGCGCGAATGGCGAGGGATTAAGCGATGGTCTGCACGACGATTAACGCCAGGGAAGAGCTGGTAAATAACTTGGAAGCTCCTTCTGCATATCTGTTGGCGTTATCGATCCCGGAGTGCCATTCTCTCTTTCTCCCTCTCTCTCTCTTCCTTCATCCTCCCTTCTCCTGACCCACCGAATTCTTTTCCAGACCGTTTCCTCCCGCGGATCTCTCGCGGCGACGACGATTGTAATTTTTCACGGTTCGAAACGCGCGTACTCGCGCTTTGGAATTTCAGGCCTTCGAGCACCGAGGAGCGGTACGACGAGTACGGGGATCGAGAGTACAGCGCGGCCGAGCGTTTGGGCGAGCAGATGTCGGCGGAAAACTGCCACGCCCTTTATCCAGAATGTCCGAGAAGTATGCTCGACGTGTTCTCCACGGTGATCACGTGAAATCTACTCTGGAGGAGGACACGTTTCGTTCCGTTGGAAACCGAGCTCGAACGATTTTTCTTGGAAGAAGACGATCCTTTCTGATCTGTGCGCGATCGAAATCGACGTTGCGAATGATAGATGTTGCGGACAAAAGTTCTTTTAAGTTGATAATATGATTTACAATCGTATCACACTTCGTAATTAACCTCACAATTGTTGGCTTGTTCGGAAAGTAATTTCGTTTTTTCACGCGAGTGTCGCTAGTCGCGAACGTTTATCCAGCCAACTTCATTCCGAACCGTGTTGTTTGTTATATATTTTGAGAGTTGGTGTTTCGTGGTTTGAATTTAGAAGAAAAATTCGTTTGATTCTACGCGATTGTGCTTTTCGTGCGTGATGACAAAGGTGAGCATTTTCGATATATTTCACTTTTTTATTATATACCGAAAAGGTAAGAATGCCGTTCAGGCAAGAAAAAAGTTACGCGAAGTCTATGGAGAAGGTGTCACTAATGATACAATACGGTCGGTGTCAAAACTGGTTTTCAAAATTTCGATATTAAAGATGCGCCACGTTCCTGAAGACGTAGGTTAGGTTAAGCTGCGAGATTGAATTTATCGAATTCGACTCGTTCGCGATCGCATTTGGTGTTTCATTGTCATGAAAAAAAATATGAAATTACTTTCCTAACAATCCAATAATTACAGTTATTCGACGCTTCGAACAAAATACTTCGATAAAACTTCGATCGTTTATTGAATTTTGCTCATCGCTGCGATAATTATTATCACTTCGAATGCGAGCGTTTGAATTTTCTATCCCCTATCTCGTTCTATTCTCTCGGATCCGGAAACTCGTTGAAAAAATATTTCACGAACGATGTTAATCATCGTGCAAAAACGAGGTTAATGAAACATTTGCTCTTAGTCACCTCTTAGAACCTTTTTACTCGAAAAAAAGTAGCCTAAATGCGCGAGAAAGAAGAGGAAGAAGAAGGGATCACGCCCTCGCGTTTGTAATTTATCGGAGAGGGCGAGTACTCGGGCAGAGAGGGCCCTCCTCGAGTGCATCGAGAAGGAGGTGATCGTTCCGGCGGAAGGATCGGTTGAACGCTCGATTATGCTGAAACGATGCATCCTAAAATTCATCCGTTCGGGGCGAGGGCCGTTTCTCAAGGTGTCGAGCCACCGTGAAAGCATTTCTTTAACCGTGCGCCCGTCCTCTTCTTCTCCGAGCATTCTGAAGCCTCCCCTCTTCCTCCTCTCTTAGGGAGGAAGTTTTCATTTCCCTAAAAGTCGAGCGACCCGCAGCAATCGTCGAGTCTCGCTTCTTAGCAGGAATTCGAGATTAAAGAATCTTCGCGGACCCGTGCAACGCGATTCTTTCGAATCACGAACTCGTCCCTAAATAACGCTCCTAAATAAGAAACGAATCTCGTTGTCGTCTCGGTTCGACGACATAAGTTTCTCGGTGAAAGAGGAACAAATTTCTGAGGGATATTCTTCCAATATTCTTTGGATCCACTATTTTTTTAACCGATTAAATGTCGTTTTCCGCGTTACGTGTCGTTTCCCCTTGCGAGCAAAATTTTTCCGTTACGTATGAATACATTTTCCATTTCCTTCTTGAATGCGTGCTTTCTCGTTCTCTCCGTCGATAAGAGAAATAATCGTGCTTGTCTATTCTAATGAATAGACGATTAACGATCTGGAATAAAATGTATTCATTGAACGCTATGATTCACGAATAATCGTAGATAATCGCGTTCGTAAAAACACACACAGGATCTTTTACGTAACATTTTGTAAATCTCAATTGTTGGAAACATCATTTATCGTATTCGAAAAATTAAAAAGACGATTAAAATCGAATTTCCACGCAAAAATGTTCCACGAACCTAGGATTAATTTATGAAACTTTATTATTATTACAAAGGTAACGACTGTTCGTTATTTCAGTTGGTACAGCGAACACCGCACGTATACTCATTCTTCGATCATTACACATTTATTTCGCGGCCGTACTCGCCGCATTAGTTCGCATTAGTTATGGAAATAGGTAAGGTAAAAAAAAGAAGTAAAAAAAAAAAAAAAAGTTTTCTCCTCTGCTACTTTTAAATTTCACACCCCGGGAATGGATTTTCCTTAAATCGCATTAGACCCTTTTATAATGTAAAAAGTTTTCGAAACGGCGGGTGGTCGTGTCGTGGAGAAGTTGGAATTGAAAATTCCACTCGACTTATGCGATCGTTTACGATGGTGAATTAGGGATAAATGGACAATCTAGACGTGCGTGAAGTTCCTCGAGAGAGAGAGAGAGAGAGAGAGAGATTCTTATCGATCTCGATCGACACTTCGTCAGGGATGGAAGAAGAAGAAGGAAGGAAGGAAGGAAGGAAGGAGGAATTCGGTGGACGTGGTCGTCGGTGAACCGGTTGCAAAACGATAATAGCCGGTGTTAAAGCACTTTAAAAAGCATAGTCCATTATCGTGCAGGGCGAGCCAAGTACGCGTAACGCTTAAAAGCTGGAAGGAAAAGCGAGCTCGTGGCTCGAAGGCGGAGGAGCGAAACGAGGGGTGTAGGACAGAGCCACTCTCCTCCGCCTGCTATGTATATAATATGGAGGGAGGGGCGGAGGGGAGGGGAGAGGGAAATAAAAACAGGAAGAAGACGACTGGTATCCTCGGAAGAGAGGAACGTTTGCCCCGTTGGGATGTGCCCAGAGTCGAACGCCTCCAACATTTTACCGTGGATTTATCTTATCGATCTCTTTTTTCCCCCGAGTGGGCGTTGGTCCCGTATTATTAATTCGAGCCCGCCGTTCGTTTCGAATTTCGCGAATTCTTCGGGGAAGAGGGGAGAAGCTTTTAGAATTTTCAACGGAATCGTAGAAAATTTTCTTTCGATCCTTGCTCGATACGATTAAAGAAAATATATTTTATCTTCTTTTCGTCTTTTCTTCCTTTCGTCCCTCCACGCGACGCCAAATTTCGGGAACGAAAATCGAGTGATCGCAAGATTTATTATCGGCGAGTGTTGAGAGAGAAATTAAGGCGAGAATTAAGGCATCTCGTCGTTCATTATCCCGCGTCGTGGTATCAAATTGACTGACTCTCGTCGAACAATAAATTCGATCGAGTTTGGTGGACCGAGTTTGATTAACGGTGGAGAGCCTCTGCGTGGATCTACGATTTTTGGAGAGGACGAACAATCGAGGATGAAAATTTCTACAGACGTCTCTACTTCTATTCTCTCGTTACTATTCCGCTCTGCTTCGAAACCGCGATAGTGAGAACGATTCCGCGGGACGTGCTCCTTCCACCAACGTGCTCTCGTTCAACCTCTTGGGGGGTGCAGCTGTGGGAAGTAACGATGGAAGAATGAAGGAGCAGGCGGCTGGAGGGGAGAGGAGGGGCGAAGGGGGTAAGGAGGAAGGAAGGTTTTGGATTTTCCACAAGGATCCCACGAGATATTCCCTTCCCTATGAAAATGATACGCTTCCCTCCCTCCCTCCCTCCCTCCCTCCTTTTTTTATTATTCCGGTCAAATCAAATTCGTGGATCACGCGGAACGAAAGAATGGACGCGTTTCTTTCCTCGCCCGAGGAGAAGAATCCACTCTTGCTCCCGCCATTTTATCGGCCCATCCATTATAAATTTTCGTTCCGGCGAAATCTGTTTCTCCGAAGAACTGTTTCTCCGATCCAATCCGTATCTTTCGTACCTTGAATTTCATTCCTACTCCTCCCGTGACGATTTATCTTGTGGAAAAACTTGTTTCCAAACCGAGAGAAACCGGGCTCTCGAGCCATCGTTATTTAAGATCAGCCGTGGATTCCGACTTTCTTCCCCCCTCTTCCCCCGTTATGATTATTCGTTTCGCAACAATATCCCATTAAAATGTTTAACAAATCTCGCTATCAAGAGTGGCTTGAAAGGGGAGGCAAGATTCCCCTGCCCCCCCTTTTTTTGGAGCTCGTTAAGCTCGAAGTGAGAGCAAGTAATCGGATCGTGGATCGCGTTCGATATAATAGAATTCGAGTCCAACGAAAACGTCTCCTTCTTCCTGCCTCACCTCAAATTATCATCTGGGGAGGAGAAGGATCCCCTGCCCCGATTTTTCGACCGTTCTGGGTATTTTTCTCGGCAGGGGCGCGAAATCGAGTCGGATCTTATCTTTCCCCTCGGATGGAAATTCTCCTCTCCCCCCCCCTTCTCCCTCCCTTTCTTAAATTTTCTCTCGAGGTAAAATAAAGGTCGGCGATGAGGAGAGCGTTATCGATCGAAAAACCATGGAATAGAATTCGGATAGGAAGGGGTGTAATTGAAAGTAGGAGTAGGAAACAAGAGCGTCGCGTCCGGGATGAAGAGAAATGCGGTCGTTTTTTATCATTTTTTCCTCGCGACATCGACGCATTATTCCCGTCATAAGTTATCGCTTTATTACCATCGTCATTACGGTGTTTTACGAGCCACGTGACCGTAAAATATGGCGTCGTTATGAAAAAAGGCTGAGGGCGGGTTGCCCGCTTTCGAGAGATCGCGTAACACGATATCGATTCTTTTTTTTTTCCAATCCAACGATTTCCTCGAATTGTTTCAAACACCTTTCTCCTCTTTATAATCCTCGTGTAATTGAACGTAATATATAATTTTTCTTTGTGTATTTGTGCGGGCTCCATCCATAAGAGTCATTAGACAACGAGACAAGCACGATTCTTGGAAATCTTGGAGATTTGCTTTGATTTCGACACTCGAGTGAAATCAAGAATGGAATCACGTCAAACGTATAAATAAATTCGATGTATTTTTTTAATACAATTCTACGAAAACCGCGCGAGCGCCGCCAATTGGCACTGCCTCTCAGCAAGATTGCAAAATTCGGATCGGATTATATTGTTTATGCAAATCGCGTTGCGTGTGCCAAACGTGTGATTATCGCAACAACTATTGAAATAACTAGATAAACGATTGAAATAACTAGATAAAAAATAATATTACTTAAAAATAATTTCTCCTTCTATTTTCCTTCTATTTTAGAAAAAAAAAAAAGAAATCGATTAAACGTTTGCAAGATCGAATTAAAAATTTCGAATTTTTTTTCTGATCGGAGATTATTATTTGTCGAAAAAAAAAAAAATAGGGAATAATTTCGAGAGGAAAAAATTCGCGTTCCTTCGGGAGAAGAGATCGCCTATCCTCGGATGAGATTTTAATTCAACTTCGGTCGTTAATCGCGCCGCGTTGGAAACGGAATTAATTAAAGCTGCTTAACAGCCGGGGCCGGGCAATTATTGGATTTACAACGCTATCGTAACCCGGCAGGGGTTAAACTGATATACCGATGAATCGGGGTGTCGCTTTTCCGTACTGCGTATCGAAAATGTGTTTGTGTTTTCTCGTTCTCTCTCTTACGACAACCGCAAATTTTCTCCTCCTCCTCCTCCTCTTCTTTTCTTCCGAATTGATTCCGAGCTTGAATCGCTCGAGATTTATCGTCGTATAATAAAATTAAAATAAAATCGAAAGAAAACAAACGTTATTATTCGCGCGTACGTGTTTTCGTTTATGGAAGTTCGATCTTGACATTTCGTTTTCCAGAGAATTTCATATATGTATATATGAAATTTAACCGAGGAGTGATTCTTGGAAAGGAACGAGTCGTAATCACGCACGTCGAACGTAAACAACATACCTTACGGTCTTCCTTTACGAATACTACGCGTTCATTATCGCGTTGCCGGCCGCGCGAACTGGTAGCCCATTCGTTGTTGGCTCGTCGACCAGTCGATCTAAAAGTCTTCCGTTTACCGCCGTTTTTACCTCAAGTGTTTTAAAATTAACATGTTTCGTTCGTTACCATTGGGAGCCATAGCGATAGCGTGCTCGTTCGTTTGGAGAAGCGAAAGTATCCTTCTTTATCCCAACAACTCGTTGTTCCAGGTAATTTTTCTTTTCGATTTTAATCCGCTTCTTGCACAGCAGCCTCCATGTTTAATCGGATTTTTCGCGCTCGAACGGTGTTTTTTCGAGTCACGATTAATATTGGGACTAAATTAATCGAATCAGCAATCAACGTGGAAAATTTTTTTCCAACGAAATTGTAATCGTAAGGATAATTTTAACGGTAATATTCCATTCTTCGATTTCTCAATAATATACTATTGAGAAATTATTTATAGAAGATGGGGATATTATATATATATATCCGTTTTTTAAAAAAATGTTCGCTCCAACGTTCCGTGTCGAGATCCATTTCGCCACTTCCTTGGTTCTCGTTGCCCCTTTGTGCGGCTCCTGGTTATTTACCTCTTTCGCCATTTTTCGCGGAAAGCGAAAAACTTGAACGCGGTTTATTATATCACCAGATTGGCGGAAATTCGAAGAAATTGAAGTTTAGCATGTTACGATTCGTCTCGTTCCTTCTCTCTAATTCGAAGAAAAAAAACAATTTAAAGAAGAAGGAAAGAGAAGAGAGAGAGAGAGAGAGAGATTCACAACGATACCTTCGCTAACTTGCTCCCTCCTCCTTCCCCCCGATTTTTTCTCCCTCCTTGAGAGAAGTTGTTCAGCCCCCTAAAACTCGTTCCTCCCCCCTCATTTTCCAGTTCACGATCGGCGTCTCGGTTCCGGTATCCATGAACAAAAGGGGCAGCGTGGTGTTCTCGTCCGCGTTCCAATTCAATTACAAACTTCCGTCCAACTTGTCGCAGCTCGAGCCTACGATAATGTTGGCCAGGCAGGCGAGGGATCTGAATCTGCAGGACGCTTACGAGGCGATCGAGAATTTGTTGGATCGGTGAGTATCGACCCGATTTCCATAGTAACGAAGCGAGGCAAATGGTGGGAGGATGGATGCGAAAAAATCGGGACACGATGATATCGGCTCGAATCGGAGGAGGTAATAATCGTTGAAAATCGGCTACGAGATGAATCGGTAAACATTTGGCTGGAAACGAACGAATAAATTGGTAATTAACCCGGAATCGGGCCGAGATCGTTCGCGTTTTGGCCGGGGTTAATGAAATTCCATTTTCTAGTCGAGGATCATCCACCCGCGACTCGCCACATTCGTGTTTATCGCCGATAAACGCTTACAACGAGCGATTGATCACGAAGGGGAGACGAGGCCTCGAGTGCGTGCCGATATATTTGGCGAACCCAGTTTCAACCCCCCAGTTTCGAACGAATTTTATCTCGTTTCTTCGTCACGAAGAAAATAGAATCACGTGAGATATCTATGAAACTCGAACGATCGAAACGAGGAGGAGGAGGAGAAGGAGGAGACCGTTGTTGGATTTTTCTTGAGTTGTCTGGCACCACAAAACGGTTATAAAGAAGAAGGTTATAACGAATTTCGGTGCGAAATTTGAAAGGAGGGAAAAGGACAACAAAGGATAAACGATTGCCAAGATGCGCCAAGCAACGGTTATCCGATCGCGAAAGGTTGGGGCGTGGCCGATATAGCAGCGTCAAAGCAAAGAGAGAGAGAGAGAGAGAGCTCGAAGCGTAACCTAATTGGGGCGCAGGGTAATTGCTCCGTTTTGGAGGAGATAGAGGGGGCTCGGGGTAGGGGAGGGGCGAGTAACAAACGAATAATTTAGGTTTGGAGCGAAAGTCGGCGCGAAAGTTAAGAAAGAGTCGGCCGATACGAAGTTGACAAGGAGGGCGAGAAATGTCGCGTGAAATGGATCGTTAGCCGGCTGAATAGGGTGAATTTCTCGTCACGAGTTTTTTTACAAGAGATGGGAAGATTCGTGGAGAATTCTCTGGTCACTCCTTGAAGTGTTCATTGTTTGCAAAACAGGCGAGACTTTGCTAATTTTCATCCCTTCTCTTTTTTTTTTTGTTTTCTTTCTTCTTTTTCACGTATCGAAACTCGAGAGTATCGTTTCATTGGCGAAGAAACGCGCGTGTGTTTAACGCGGCGGCAGAAACGGAAATTCGAAATTTGCATCCATCCCGGTGACATAATTTTATTCGAGGCAAGCCGTCGAGGATAATGAATCTCTCGGATGGGAACGAAGACGACTTATGCTTAAGAAATTCCCTTTCGCCATTTTATAAAACCGATATCGTGGCGCACGGTTTGCCGAGAGGCTCGCCATCGATTTCCTAAATAAAATTATGAAATAAAGGGAAAAAGAAGGAAGGGGAAATGAAATGAGGGAGACAGAGAGGGAGAGAAGAAGAAGAAGAAGAAGAAGAAGAGGTATCGATTAAAATCGAAACGTTTCGTTTTATATGGTTATAGGCACGGTTGGGAGGACGGGAGAGAGTGTCTTCTGAAGACGATTTGCGAACTCGCGGAAACACCGTTTGGCAGGACACGTCGTGACGTCCTCGAGGAGGTGATCCACTTAATTTTAACGTAAGTTGGTTCCGACGAATCGCGCTTTGACTCGTGTACTTTCCGAAACGAAGTTCATTTCTCGAGAAGCTTCCGGTTAATGAATTCCGTTGGAAGTCTCTAATGGCTGTCCTGCCCGCTTACGACGAAGTAAGACGACGGTGCTCGCGTAACGAAGCACGAATACACCGAGATAATGCAGTAAAATCCATGTTGCGACCGGGCGTGGCAACGATTTTACTCCACGATTTTTTCGTTTACTTTTTCTCCTTTTCTTTTCTTTTTTTTTTCTTCTTTTTCTCCTTTTTTTTGTACAACGACCGACTCGTTCGATCGCCGACAAATTATTCCGGCCAGCACGATTTTTACGCGTTTTGATTACGACGTTCGAGCAGAAAGAATCCATCGGAAGCTTTTCTCGACGGGTTTATAGAAATAATCGGAAGAAAGGAGGGGGGAAGCAAGGTCGGGAATTTTACACGGGAATAAAGATTGGACGAGCGATGATATCCTTAATTTAACGATCGAAGGGGGAGGGAAATTGGAAGGGTAAAGGGCGGTAATGGAATCGAGTTAATGGTTGATCGATGATGGAACGAATGATTGGCCGAGCGATCGGCCAGGATCGGAAACCGGGCAGGAATTTGCCATTCCGGCCGCGTGCTCGAAGGAAATTGCAACCGAGCCAGTGAGCGGCTACTTTAATTGCGACCAAGTTAGGCGCGTGCATTAAGCCCCTAATGGAAGGTGTTTCGCGTAGGTTTTCCCTTTGTACACACGGCTCACTGCCTCGAAATTTCTATCGACGTAATCCCGCGCCACCATCCCTCGGAACAATTGCCGGGTAATGCGCGTCGAATATCAATAACAACCCGGTCGGTTTACTTCCCCACACCCATTGGGACGATTGCACTTTCCTTCGATCGATTTTCTTTTTTTCTTTCTTTCTTCCTTTCTTTTTTTTTACCAAACTTTATCGCCAAAAGCTTCCTTTCTTTCCTTCAAATTTCTCTTCGGAAATTTCAACGAAAGAGAAAAATTTTTCGTTGGAAGAAAGATTCCAACGTGCAGGATGCCTCGAGATATCCAAACTTTGCTCTCGCTTTTTTTTCTCTCTTTATTTTGTACTCTTACTCTCACATGTGTGTCTCAACGAAAGTAAGTCCGTTATCCCGAAGCGTCCTGCAACGGAGAAAGAAATGGCAGATTTGTCGCGTGCCACGTGAGAACCGCGTTGAAATTTCTCAATTAGGCCGAGCGAGGACTTGCCAGATTCGGTCAACTCGACTCGCCGGATCGTCGACCACTCGTACCGAGATGCGGAACTGTTGGGAAGATCCGGAGGCGACTGCGTCCTCGCCTATCCCGATTGCACCGAGTCACTGCTCGAAACGTTCACGGAGATCGCGTTCCCCTAGAGGAATGCGTTTCGACGGCATTGATTTCGTCGAACTTTGGAGCGGCCCCCCCATCCCACCCCCGTCGATCGATTCGAACTGTGGACAACCGCGTCGACAAGTTGGTCGATGATCCGCTAAATTTTTTTTGTTACAAACGCGTTTATTTCGAGAAGGTGGATACCTTTCGGATATAAGACGTTGGAAGGGAGAAAGAGTGTGTGACTTTATCGTAAAAGAATTTATGGAGGAGGAGTTTGGACGAGGGGGGTGGGGGATGGTGGCACGGTGCTAAGTAAATTTCGCTGTAAGAGCTGCCCTAGAAAGCTCTATGTTTCAACCACGCCATCCCGCTTCCTTCCTCGTAATAATTCGCAATAAAAGAGCTTTTTATAATTGTTATACCGATCCAGATATTCTTCGTTCTCCAGATATTCATACGCGTAATCTCGAGAAATTACCACTCGTTTATTTTCTAGGACAATCGACGATCGATCTGTTGTCAACGAGGCGAGAAGAAGAATTCGATTCGCGAATGATTATCGTATATAATCTTTTCTTTTTTTTTCGTTTTCTTTTTTTTTTTTTTCAAGAACGACAAGAATTTATTACACGACGATCGTACTTGTAGATATCATAAGTCGATCAGATTTTCAACCTTCGATGGAAACGAAGATGCTCTCGACATCTTCGAACGAAAAACGGCGAAAGTCTTAAGTAAATTTCGCTGTTGATGCTCGCTCTAAAACGGGTGGAAACTCTAACCTCCTCCCTCTAACGTCCACCACCCCTCGATACGGTTGGCCGTTGCTTGTCACCATTCTCTATTTTCCATTTTATTCCCCTTCGCCCTCCCTGATTTCTTTCTTCCAACGATTCATCGCGCGTTTGTCCTTCGATAACGTTTCACAGCCTCGAGCTGCGTCCGCGTATCTTTAAACGCTTGAAATTCTTCTCGAGCAATATACTTTTCGTTCTCCCAAGAATCTTGCGCGGATACTTTTCGATCTTTAATCGGAGCGAGGAAATTTTCTCTTCGATTAACTTGGAATTTCGAACGACGTTGAGACGATATATTGTAACAAGGAGCATCAACGTCATTCTCGTCCAATCACTTCCTTCCTCTCCCTCTCTCTCTTTCTCCTCTGGAGGAGAATACTTCTGAAGGAGAATATCACCTAGCGGCAACTTTGTTCGCTTTGTTGCCGTTGGAAAATACTCTTCCCTTCCTTTTGTTTATATATTTCAGTTCCCTTTTGTCACGCCGGAAGTTTGGGGCGCGCGATCTTATCCTTGCCGAAACTTATTTCGCAACTTGTCCCAAGTTGAAGCGTTCCTTCGAAGTAGTCCTTTCCTCTCTCTCTCTCTCTCTCTCTTCTCTTGACCGCGATTATACGACGAAAAAGAAGACGAGAAGAAGAAGAAGAATCTTTCCCTCTCTTCTCTTCTCGCTGGATAGAGCATTCGAGGGCAGAGAGAGAGAGAGAGAGAGAGAGAAGAGTCGATCCGTCGTCGTTGTCGTCCGTTTGATTCGTTTTTCTGGAAAGGAAAACGATGTTTTTGTCGGGAAAAATGGGAGGCGACGTAGAGAAGAAACGTGGCAAAACGTCAACGACCTTAAAGATTGGATAAAGAAACGGGTTTGTTTTCTCGTCTTGTTAACGAAACGACGATTGAAACCGGTCGTCGACGAGGAGAGAGAGAGAGAGAGAGAGGAGAAGAAGAGA